GTATTTCATCTCTAACAAGGTAATGCTTTGAGGTATTTATGCTTCAAATCCACATACTGGGTTCTCTGTTCTCCCGTCTTCAGGGGAAATATTTCTTGATGGAGAAATTTTAAGTTTTAAATTGGGTATGGAGCTCAAGATGAGAGAAGCTTAGAAATACACCTTATTTAAATGAGTAAGCTTACCAGGAAACACTAGTATTCTGTGTCTGGAGAATAAAATTTTAAAAGCTAATGTTCTATATACCCAATTAACATTACAATAGTAGCTAGGTAGCTATAATTATTTGAATAATGCATCTTGTAACCAAATGATATATAGTTGATCTCAAACATCATGACTTCTACTTAATGGTTTGAAAATTGCCCTCTTAAACACTTACATGCTAAGTGGAGTTTAAAGATTGCCTTGCTAAATGAGTGAGTTTTTTGGCTTAGACGTTGAAACTACATTAAAATCACTGAAAAATGTGTGTCTTAGCTAAGCTATGTATAGAACATAGACAAAAAGCATAAAGTCCTTCACAGAGAGCCATTTCTGAAACTTCTGAAAAATACATTTTGAGGTAGTGAAAGCTGTGTCAAAGCTGTACTCTGCTGACATGCTGGTTTTTTAAACAAAATCTTCAAATTTGGATCTATTACCTGTTTTTTATTGTAGCTTATTTATTTTCAGATTCATTGGACTATTTCCTTTTTTCCCTTTTTTTTTTTTTTTCCTTTTTACTTCCTATCTTTATTTCTTCACACCAAATTAAATTACCTCTTTTTCCAAAACATGTGTGGAATACATGCAAAACAGTAATTGAAGTTGAAAGTTTTTCCTTGATGATTGAGACTGTTATGCAAATGTTGCATTTTTCACATGGATCAAGATAATGGCCATACTAAATTAGAAATTACTTTTTCTCCACTCCTTCTATAATTATTCCCTCCGTTACTTATTGGCATGTCATGATGCATCAGACACTGAATGATTTTTCCTGCTAGCTTGGTTAGATGTTTAGATGCTAACTGTGACCCTGAGAGTTAGTCAATAAACTGTCTCAATTTCTTCTCATATAGAAGCAAAATGAATTCTACAGAGAAACTAATTACTTATAATCCCCTTTTCTATGAATTTAAATTAGAAGTGTTTTGTATACCTGTTGAGTCCTCTATTTCCCCCAGGTAAAGTCCAGTGTCCTCTATCTGGGTGTTACAGAATGAAAATTTTACAATAGCTTTTAGAGCAGC